TGAGAGAGAGAGAGAGAGAGAGAGAGAGAGATGCGGTGGAGACACATCCGCTCCTCAAGAGAGAATGTGGAAAGGCAGGCTTGGCATGGGCCCTAGGTGGAAGAGTTGAGGAGACATGCTATTTTTCCACTTCCAATCAGAGGGTGCTATGTAGATCTCCACAAAGGCAAGACAAGGGAGTACACTCCCTGGCCTCCAGAACAGTCCACTAAATGTCCTGCAAACGTATTTATAGCCATTGCCACCAGCTCTACTCTACGCCATTCTACTTGAACCGTCTGACAACTGCTTTGACTACAAGATTCCTATTCCTCATCTTGAGGTAGATCTCACTTTCAAAGAATTCTGTTTTCCAGTACACTCTGGATTTCTAGTTACTCCAAGGATTAATTAACTGGCTTGACAAGGCTTCCTTCCTCCCAGTGTTTCGTTCTCCTCTTTTGCTTTCTGAAGATATCTCGTGGTTTCAGTCTGAAGTGTCACCTTCTCTGTTTTTATTCAGGAGTTTTCTCCTGTGACATTTTTTTCCTGCAGCCGCAGGGCCTGTTCCAAACAGGGAGCGAGCTGGCATTTATTCTGTACCTCAGGGATGCAGGAGAGTAAAGAGGTCTCAGACTGTAGATATGTGTTTGCCCTTCTCTGCCACGTGCAGTTTCTCTTTATACATTTTTAAAATACTGCGTTATGGATTTTGAAACATTTGCTACTGTAGTAAAAGTGTAAGCGCACACACACGTGGCCAGGACACATGGCAACTTTAGGATGTTCATTATCCCTGGAGAGAGAGCGAGAAAATTTAGTGTACTTCAGCGGTCAGCAAACTTTTTCCATCAAGAATCAGACAATAAATATTTTAGGTTTGTGGGCCATATAGTTTCTGCCACAGGTACTCAACTCTGCCTTATTTATGGACATGGATATTTGAACTACATGTAGTTTTCACATTACAAAGTATTTCTTTTTCTTTTGGGATTTGTTGGTTTTAGGGTGGGTTGTGTTTTTTACCCCCCTCTCTTATCATTCAAAAGTATAAAAGACTTCTTGGATCCCAAGTCATACAAAAATAGGAAAAGGGCTAGATCTGGCCTCTTCCGGCTGCAGTTCGCTGACCCCTACTATAGCTGAGAAAAGCCCAGGGGGTTAAGTGCTAGCTGCTAACTGAAACATTGGTGGTTTGAACCTACCGCAGGGATCTGAGGGAGAAAGACTTGGCAATCTGCTTCTATGAAGGTTGTTAGGTGCCATGGACTTAACCATGGTTCTTAGCGACCCTACAAACAACAGAGCTAAATCCTGCCCTCTATCTGGCACCATCCTCACAATTCTGTCACGCTCAAGCCCACTGTGGCAATCACTGGGTCAAACCACCTCACTGAGGATCTTCCTCTCTGCTTGACCTTCTACTTATCCCAGCATGGTGGCATAAGGATCATAGCCTGGAAAACTCTATGAGACAGCTTTTCTCTGTCACATAGAGCTGCTGAGTCCAACTCAATCCCACAGTACCTAACAACGATAGATGGCTATATATCACTTTTTGTTATCTTGGGTGGTAAGGGAACACCAACATTAAGTATTATTAAAAAGAAGGGGGAAAAAGATGGAGGAAGTTGTCCCATAACCAAGGACTGTCCTGGCTGAAAGGGAGCCTCCTCTGTAATGTTCTAATGAAGGGTTCCTCTAACCCCTGAGGCATAGGGTGCTCCTTATGTTGAATTAGCTCCTGATTTGGACAGAGTCCCTGCAGAAGGGCCAGCAATAGTGGTACAATCCAGAGAGGGGCACTGCAAATCCAAAGGCTTCTCTAGTTGAGTCAAATCTGTGAAAGGCAGATGAGCAAGCAGTCTCCTTCTGTGTGGTTCACAGACTTGGAAACCTCCTGCAGGGTCTGCTATGAGTTTGACCTGACTCAACAGTTGTGTGTGTGTGTGTGTGTGTGTGTGTGTGTGTGAGAAAGAGAGAAAAAGTGAGGGTTGCTCTCTGAAGCTACTTACTGATAAGCATATACCTATGAGCTGGGTCCAGGACATTATGTAAAAGAACTGTGGCTACATTGAAAGTTCATTGAAAACATCCTGGCTAGTGACACCCTCTGGGGATAAGACACTCCTCAAATCAAAGGGCCATGTCCAGCCTTCAAGCACATTCCAAGATCACAAGGCACCAGGTGGCAGAGCCATATCACCTTGCCATCCACAGGTCACTGTGACCTCTGGCCATCATCAAGCTCCCAGTAACCAAAGGTCTCCCTCTGCCCAATCCCCAAATGGAAATGTTCCACGGGCCCAGAGAGGGAAGGGCCCTGCTTAGTGCCCCATGCTGCTCAAACCTGGGCAGCTGTAGTCCTGTACCTCACTCACATCCTTGCCTGGGACAAAGTCCTGCAATGAGTTCCCTCCCCACTGCTCTAGAGCGGCTGGAGCTGGAGATGGAGTGGGTGTGGTAGGAAGCCTGCTGAGCGGTGGAAATCTGGTAACAGCCCTGCCCCCACCCAGCCTGCGGTGTGAGTCCTACAGACAGTCCACTCTGACAGCCCACTCCATCCCTGCTTCTCAATACTACATCCCCCCCACCACCAGAGTTTGGGTCATTTTCGCATCCTAGTTAATGGACAAGCTAGAACAAATGTGGAATAAGGGTTTGAACTAGGCTGGGGTGCTGGGTACAACCCCTTCCTCCACGGTCTAAGATCACAGCAGAAGAAACAACCTCCACACAGTGGGAGACTGAGATGGGATTGCAGACCAGTTAGTGGGCTCTTTAGCATGAGTTATCACCTGGGGAGGTGGGGAGCATTGCCTCAAAGAAGAGCAGTGAGAAGGCTGCCCTGTCTTCCTCCACCCAGCCTTTACCTCATAAGCTGCCTGAACCACTGGCCCACACACCTCCTCAGTCAGGCTCCAAAGCATGTTCCCTGCTCTTCCTCCTCCCAGCCCACCCTCCATCCCTGCCCCTGGAAGAACTCTGTCCACAATACCCAACGCATTTTCCTTTTTCCTGTCTTTGCACAGGCTGTTCCTTCTTCCCAGAGAAAGGACAATAGGTCATACTCAACTATGGCCTGAGTCTCAGGTATAGGCTTCTAGCTTCCCATGCATTCTCTTGTTCTTACAACTCTACCATTTTTATCCCATTTATCATTTACCAGCCAAGGTCACTGAGGCTTGGTGAGATAACTGCCCCAAGATAGTTAGACGCAGAGCTGGGATTAAACTCAGTTCTGATTCATCCACTCCTTCTGCCAGGGAAATCCTATCCATTTCAGTGAGATCCAGTCCGAATGTCCCCTCCTTTATGAAGCTCTCCTTGATTTCTCAGTGCTAACTTCTGCTCAGAGAGTCTCCTCCCTACTTCAAGCAGGATGAGAGCTCTTTCAAAGGTGGGGGACGACGCAATGCAGGGCTCCTGTAAGGTCTGGGATTTGGGGCTCAGGGCAAGCTTCAGCATGGGGATTGTCCCCTCCACAGCCAGTCAGCAGAAATAGTTTAGAGAGCTTTTGGTCCTCTCTGTGCCTTGAAAGCCAGGGATGAACTAGGCTGAGATGAAAAGTGGAGTGAAAGATTGTGTAAGGAATTTCCAAGGTGAAGAGTAACGCAGAGTAGGGGTGCAGGAGAGACCCCTAGAGTCGCCTGAGCATTACTAGGCATTTGTACTACTCTTGCTTGTCACAGTATGCACTTGTTTCTTCATGGACTCATTCTCCCATTTTACAGAGGAGGCAAATGAGGCTTAAGAAGGAAAACAGATGTGTCTGAATTCACACTGGTTTTTGCTTGAACTCAGATCTCTTGGTCTCCACGACCAAGATTGAAGAGGGAAGAGGAGTAGCCAGAGGCCATTTCAGAAAAGGCATGAAGTGAGGAACCTAGTCAGGACCCTCAGGGCTTGAACTTCAAAGCTTTAACACCTGTGCCCACCCCCAGGCTCTGCTCTTCCACCCCAAGAGCTCACTACTTCCTGAAGAAGCCCTGGAAATTGTTGCTCAGCCCTGAGTGTGGGAAAAATCCTCCCCATTCTGGGAAAAGCAAAACTAACATTAACTGAGAGTCAGAGAGGTGCTTCAGGCCCAGGATATACAACCAACAATTCAAGAGGTCGGGATTTAGCCCTAGTGCACATTCAGAGCACAGCGTTTCACAGCCCCTCTGGACAGGCTCGGTACAGGGCCAGTCTCCTGGTTTCCCAAGGCAAGCTGGTGGAAGAAAGGCAACCCAGGTCCCCCGCTTAGTGCCGCCACCCCAGCTCACACCACTCGCCCTAGACACCCTCAGGTGGGCCTGAGCCTCTGCCTTGGACTCTGGTCTCTCCAGAGGGCCTCCATCCTTCCTCTAAGCCAGCCAGGGAAGGAAGTGTCCTGGCCCCCACCCAGCCCTGAGGGCAGCCCCCTGGATCACACTCATTTCCAGCGGAGGATCCAGTTACTGGAAAAAGAAAAATGCAGCCTGCACCTCCCCCTCTAGCCCGCCGGCCTCTTAGACCAGAAGAAGAAATCCGTTTTTCAGGAGAGGGTAAAACTCACTCACCTTCAGAATCAAAAGCTCTGGGAGCCAAAGATTCCCTCACCGATCCCTCACGAGAAGTGGGCTGTCTGGTAGGTTCCCAAAAAAGCAAAGCTAAAGACTAGATGCAGCAAAGCTTAGAAGCTAGGAGAGATAAGACAAGGTTCAGCACAGACCACTTCATGACCTGCTAGTGGGTAAACTGAGGCACAATGAGATAGAAGCTCAGGTCTAAGAGGCCAAAGGAAGCGAACTCAGAGTTCCCATCTCCCCTCTCCTTGCCCATGGCGCACGAAAACCACTAGAAGCTTCAAAAGACAACGGGGTGGAGAAGGGGGGAGAAGCTGGTGGAATGGGGTCCTGCAGACACAGTGATGGGCATAAGTGAGAGGGGACCGTCCCGCTGAGTGACTGCGGGAAGACTGGGTCCATGGTACCCCAGGGCATCAGGTCAGGTGGCAGTGGGCAGGGCTGGGGGCGAGGGGTCGGGGTCGCGCCTACCCCTGGCAGGCCGGGTCCGGCTGCGGGAGCGGCTCCTCTGTCGCTGCAGCCGGGGCCGCCGCAGCAGTCGGTAGTAGTAGGAGGGCCTCCCGGTGCTCTTCCTGGCGCTGCCGCCCGCGGACATGCTGCCGCCCGCCGGGCACCGGGCCGGGCCTGGGCGCGCTCACACGGTCCCCATCGCCCGCTCCGGACAGCCCGGCGGGCATCCCAGCCTTGTCCCGCGCTCCCGGTGCAGCCGCCGCCGAGACCAAGGCTGCCCCACAAAGTCTCTCAAACTCCTCCTCCTCTCCCCCCTCTCCGGAGCAGCCGGCCCCGCGGCGGGGGCTGGGGACCAGGAGGCCGGGCTGGCACCGGCCCGAAAGTCAGTGCTGGGGAAATCCCGGCCTGGAATCCCAGGGGCGAGGCGGCCCGGAGCGTCCGGAGACCCCAGGCCTCCGCCTAGGGAAGCAGGAGAGTTCCTGCCTCTAAGCGCCTGAGGACTGGAAGCCCGATCCCGAGACGTCCAGGGCGCCCCATCCCAGGGGCGAGTGTAGACTGCTCACACCCGCGTGTGTGCGCTTCCAGACACGAAGCAGAGCGCACGGCTTAGGCGGCCAGGCCAGGCGACCAGCGGACACAGCCATCGGGAAACAGTCACTTTTAATTAGAGTACGAATGAATTCGCCCCGGTTTTGCCCCAAGCTCGCTAGGCTGAGAATCGAACTGGCTGGTTGTAGCCCCAGCCGGCTAAAAACCACTTCCCTTTCAGGGAGAATAACATGTCTAGTCTTCGCCTTTTAAAACCTGTTCCCTTTGGGGCCAATCCCTGGGAAAAGCCATCATTCTGGGAAAGGTGGAAAGTCAAAGAAAGAGAGGAAGACCCTCAACAAGGCGTCAATCTGACCCAGATCCTGTAACAGGGGAATCAAGAGTGTCAGAGATGGAAGGATGGCCAAGGTTCAGAGGTGTTGTTCACAGGGTCACTATGAATCATAGCCGACTTGACAGCACCTAACAGTAACATTTTATATGTGTTGTTGTTGATTGCCTTCCAGTCAAGCACGACTCTGCGACCCTCTGAACAAAAGGCCTAAAGCCCCTCTACAACTATGGACGTTTATCAAAGTTCATAGAATTTCTGGAGGCATGTTGTATAGGAAGTGGATGCCACTCCTACTTTCAAACCTGTCATACTATGTTATTGTTATTATGTGTCACTGAGTCACCTGCGACCCTGTGTACCGCAGCTCTGAACCTTCCCTGTCCTGAGCCAGTCTCACTAATTCTGATACACCAACCCCCATTGCCTCAATTACTGTATCAATCAGTCTCATTCCAGAATGCTATTCATAAAGGAACGATGATCCGGAAGCAACCAACATTTTATATACACATTATTGTCATACAGTCTATGTTTTGGTGCATATTTCAAGCACACAAAAAGCAGAGAGACCATATCCAACACCTATGTAAACAGTGACAGATCTGAACATTTTATCCTCTTGGACTTGGGCACTCTCCCCCACCCCTTCTCCTACACATCATATAGAAACTACAGATGCTGCCAGTTCTGTGTCACACTGGACATTTAGAGTAGCTCTGGCTGGCCTGCGGCGAGGGCAAAACAATGGCTACCCTGGTGTATAGACGCCGGGGAGAAGTCAGGGCTCCAGCTTTCTCAACAAGCTGAGAGGTTCTCACCAAATCACTAATGTCTCAGCTCATGCTCTCAAAGCCCCACACATCCTGGCCTGGCCTTTAGAGGCTTCCATACTCCGGCCTCAGCCAACCACACTGCAGCCTCACCTCCACTCCCCCCTTACTTCTCATTGCCCTCCCATGTACTCTGCTCAGGCTGGTCCTAGTCCTCTAGTCTTCAATTCTCCTTTCCATTTCTGCTTTAAACCATTCAGACAGACACCTGCCTGAGTTCTATCTTCTCAAAGAGACTGGAGTCCTGACAGGGAGGACAGACTTGCACCAGTTAGCAGAGAGCCAGTGATGTGGCAGAAGCAAGAGTTTGTGGCTTGAACCCCCTAAATGCCTTCTTGGGTGTATGGGAGCGAGGAGAATGGGTCTTGTGAAAAGGTAAGATTTGGCGAGGGCGGGGCAACGCGGGCAGGAGTCCAGGCCGGGTTTTGCACCTCACAGGGGGAGCCCCCTCCCTCTTTTCCCCCCTCTTTTCCTCCCTCTTTTCCTCCCTCAGCCAGCGGGGAGGGCCCCCAGGTCAGGAGAAGCTGGGATCACAGCTGGAAGCCAGGCGCCTTCCCAGGACCTGGGGGGGAGGGGTAGCAGGGGTAATGCTCTTCCAGACCTAGTCTGGTGAGTGTAAAGCTATCCCAGTAGAGAGGGCAGAGGCCCTCCCTTGGCCACAATAAGGGCCAATCCATGAGAGGATGGGAGACCACATTGCTTGGCAAGAACATCACTGCCCTTTATGGGTTAATCATTTTCAACCATAGACACTGTCAAGGAACTTCTGGGAAGAGCTCACACTCAGTCCCTCAGACTTGAGCAAGACCAGGGCCCATCACAGCAAGTGTCTTCCGCAGGCCACCAGGACCCATCTATGCCTTGGCACATCCAGTAATAAAGAACCTCCCCTGCTGAGTTCACCAGTTTTGAGGGGTGAAGGACTTCCCAGATGGGGACCCTGCTTCCAGGGTTCTACTGGTCCAGTTTCCCTCTCAGAGCAAGCAAGAATACCCTGCTCGGCCAGGCCTTAGAGTCCCATGAAGGAGATGGAAGCCTCCTAACCTGTGTATTACAGTCAGTGGCCTGAACAAGTGATTTTGGCCTGGGGCTCCCAGCATGTAGCCTTGGGAATGTGGAAGGAGTGAGGGAAGTGGCCAGGAACCCTGATCTGTAAATACACTGGCTTCAGACAGCTCTGGCATGGCTCTCCCACTCACGCTTGGGTTCCTTAAGGTCTTATCTGTGCCTCAGTTGCCTTTTCTACAAGGAGAAACTGTGGAGCCCCAATCTACTTGTGGAGGGGGGAGAGTGTTAAGGAACAGGAAACCACCCAGCCTTGGGGTAGGAGTGGGCAATGCCATTTATCCCAAGCAGGAACCAGCAGCCCAGGCAGGCCTGGGGACTGGGGTGGGAGTGGGGAGAAGGCCTGGGCTCCCTCCCCCTCCCCCTGGCCCTGGACCCCAGGAGCGGCAGGCAGACAAAGGCTGCTCCTGGCAAGCCCCAGCAGAGCATCTGGAATCAATCCTGCTGCTGAAGAGCAAGCCCACTCCATCTCCCACAGCCCCACAGGCTGCCCCTGTGCCTCCTCCCTCTACATAGCACAGCACCCCCTCCAGAGATAGCCTGGACTAGGGACAGGGGCACCTGAAAATATCCTTCCCTCTCCTCACTGCTGGCTGTGATGGACCCCCCTTAAGGTCTCTGTGACTGCCTCAGCCAGAATCAGCATCTCTGATCTTGCTGAACTTCAGGCCTCAGGTCTTACAGGGTTAACAAACTGAGCAGCTATCCTGCTGCTCACACCCTCCCACTCACCTCTGGGACCCCCAGAATGGCTCCTGACAAGATCCAACTCCCAAGCCTCCACATTCACCCTGAGCCTCCTAGTCACCCCAACTTGGTAAATAAGTGAATTTCTGGAGTTCTCTTCTGATGCTTGATGCCGTGCATCTGGATGAGGCTAGGAAATCTGTCTGCTTTCTAAGTGCCAGGCAGAGGACCAGGACAGGCTAAATCAGATCTAACTCAACCCATCACCTCCCCACCTTCCTCCTCTCCCTGAAAAGTTGCCAAAGAAGGATGCTCAGAGTACCACTGAGGAGAATAAAACTCTGTCACAAAACAGCTACCACCCCTTGCACCCCATCCCACTGCAGCAGTCCCAGGCAAAGGCACTGTGACTTTTTCCCATCTCTGGCCTGAATCACAATTCTCTTCCTTCTGCACCCTGATGGCCAGTACCTTCTTATTCCTCCAGACTCAGCTCACATCTCTTCCATTCTCCCACTGCCTTGGAGCCAGAACCAACTCATAGCTGACACACTCCAGTGGATTTCTTAAGCTGTAAATCACAGGAGTTGATTGGCCATCTTTCCTCTTGAAGCTCAAATAACACCTCCATAAAGATTAAGCCAACCCTGAGCACCAGTGAGAGGTCTTCTCCTGCACTTGGGTCATAACCCCATCAGTCAATTTGAGTCAGATCATAGGGACTCCTGGAGATCACATGTTATGAAGGAACAGACCCAAAGAATGCCCACTAGGCAGAGAACCATCACCACAGAGGTGTCCTAAGGACTGGGGAGGATTACACTCTGTTGTGAAGATGGGTGGTGGGCAGCATGGACTCTGACAGTCCAGGTAAACCAGGAGCAGGCCAGGGCCAAGTCAGGACAGTTACTTGTTTGCAGAGGAGAGAGGCTACAGGGCAGTCCAGTGAAGGCATATCTTAGGATGAGGTGTTAGGTTTAGAGTCAGTGAAGGAGATAAAGCAGCTTATTGTCAGAATGACCCCTGAAAAGACTTTGATGGCCCACAAAGACAGTTTCCTCTCCAGCAATAGGACAGAGTATCCATTTATTTATTTAAGCGTAAAGCAGAAGGGCCTGGCTTGCACTGGGGAATACAACAATGGGTTCTCTTTAAAATGCTACACTTTATTCAGGGAACACAGGAGAGTGAAAGTTCAACGGGAACATTCTTGCCTTCCATGCGGGAGGCCCAGGTTCAAGTCCTAATCAGGGCATCTCATATATAGTCACATGTAGAAGCTTGTGTGCTATTATGAGGCTGCACCCAAGTTTCAGGAGAGTTTACAGACAAAGAAGAAAGGCCTAGCCATCTAGTTCTAAAACTCAGTGAGTGAAAAGCTATGAATCTTAATAGTCTGATCTGCAGTTGATCCAGGGGATGGCACAAGCCTAGTTGGTGCCTTGTTCTGTTGTGTAGTGGATGGAAGCAACTTAATGGCCCTTAGCAGCAGCCTAGAATAGATCCTCACACTTAACGGGAGCTGCAGAAAGTAGGACCTTCCAACAGAAAAGGGTGACAAGTCTGACCTCGAAAGGGTCATCTGACAGTACAGTTTGGATTAAATACCAATGATGGTAGGTGGGGATGCATGGAGCAAATCCTGTGAGCCAGATGCTGTTCTCAGTGTTCTGTACATAT